GGGGGGGGGGGGGGGAGAGGCTGCTTTCGGGCCGCCCTATATAGTTGTTTGTTGTGGACAGCGGCGCAAGGGACTATGGGAGGCTGTCCGTACCCTCATGTGTCCCTATATACCCGCTCTCTAACCGTCCGCTCTGCTTCTATCTTCAATAAAAATTTCCATCGAGAACTACATACATTCAGGTTTTAAGAGACTTTTTCCATGGTGCGGGGGGAGGGGAGGAGATGGGTGTATTTTTTTAAAAGTTTTTTTCTCATATTATGTTCATAGTGATCATATAGCTCAATTTTCTGATTATTCACTGAAGGTCCATCGTGTTTTAAAGATTTATGATTATGGTCCATTACTAAATATGCATCGGACTGGCTGAGCTTCTACATATAGCATTCCAAAATATCTCCAACGGCCCTTCATAAAGTCGCATATGAAAGGAAGTGGTCCAGAAGATGTCGATTAGGGGCATGTCGATCATGGGGCTTCGTTTTCTAGAACTTTTGCTTTCTCTCCACAATCAAAAACAAAAACAGATTCTAGCTCCGATGAGACGAGTCAATTACGTACATTGTCTGCTTGTGCTCACATCCACAAACAGATAAATTTATTGAATGAAAACACAAAAATAAATGCTCTATACAATCGTCAAGGCATGTGAAGAAAATAATGAAAGTGCTGCAATTAATTCTGTACAAATATAGTGTCTCTTCGCTATTGCCGATAATTATCACACGTTCACAAGTTATTAAAAATTGCGTTGTCTCATAACAATGATTATTTGGATTGGTAAAACACGCAAAAGGTTAAGGTAGATAGAAAGCAATTGGACGTTTAAGGTCTTGTTGCACATATCCGAAGAAATCCCGTTTTTATTGAAGAGGCAGAAGTGCTGACTAGACACTGGCTTCATCGACGAACTGTGCGGTCGACGATCTCCAAGTAGAACAACCTGGATCGGTGTCATAGCCNGGTGGTGGAGAGAATGATCGTACTTTTTTGTCTAGAAAATTTTTTCTTCATCAGAACTTTGGAAGTAACGACTCTTATTGGTAGGATGTAATGCTTCGGAGGAGGTGTGATATGTAAGTACTCTGGTAAGTGTAACAGTGGCATGGAATTACCCAAAGGCCCTTACAATATACCTCCAGTATATAAGGTGAGTATTCATTGACAGACTAGAACCTACTGAAAAATAAGGTGTTATGGTTTCACCACCCAAGAGGTCATGAGCTCTATAAACTATACTTTCGAAATGCTCACCGTATCGTCTCGATGGCTCTCGTAGATGTACTTCTGCTGTAACCCAATGGGCCGAATAGCCAAATTGACTCTGAAAAGTCACCGTTGGAGTATTACGAGACAAACTTGTTTGTAATTCTACCAATTAACTACACCTAGCACTTTCATAAGGTAGCCTTAAAGGTGCAATTCACGATAATCTTGAGAGATCTAATTTTGGACGTATAATGGAAGCTATAGTCCAGAATTCAGAGAAATATAAGATATAAAGAAGTAAAATTAGGGGTTGGACGAGTGTGTGACTACGTAAGCTGCACGGGAAGGGTATTTGGACGAAATTTTCCAATGTGCGCGCCTTTGGATATGGCTGGCTTTGATACGCTGCCTGCGTGCAAAGTGTGGTCTCGTCAAATTATTCGAAAAGCGAAATTTCAGATTGGGAATAGTTCATTGGTAGTGAAGAAAGCGAAAAATCGCCGATCTCGAGAAAATATGGCTTCATAAAACTAGGAAAAATAAAGGCTAGACGAGATTGCCATGACGGGAATAACATGGAAGGGATACTCGGACGAGATTCCAGTTATTGCAATTGCACAAAGAGCTGAGTGCATCAACCGAAACTGTACAGGACTGTCTTTCGCTGTCGCTATGGGTCATGACAAATTGTTTAAACTTCCTACATGGATTCCCTTGTGATCGGTGCAGCCTCTACAATGCCGGTGAAACTTAGGATACACACGGGCCAATATTTGAGCCTTTATAACTCCCTACTAGGCAGTTTTCCGACCTAATAGTGCCAGATATGGTATACCAATGAACTGAGTTTATCCTATGGGGAAATCTCAGGAACCTGTTTTTATCGTAAACCGTGCCTCTGGGGAAATTGTGTGATTTAGCGGGAATGAGAAACTATTTAGTTAGATTCACAACGGTAAGAGTAAGATAAGTACTAGTGTCCCATAGGCTCACAATATAGGCGAGCATTCGTTCTATTGCAAAGATTAATCAGAAAACTTTACGACCTTGATATTTCCTGAGCACTTGGAAACTCTGTCTCGAAAAAACATCGGTATAGGACCACATTTTTTGAAGCAATTGGCTTCGCCTGTATTGCTACGAGCTAGTTTTGAGCGCAGCTGAGGATTTGGGGAACGATCGTCCCTACTCGCTTCCTCTGCCTACTTCTTGGCGGTGATCACGTCATTCAGGACAACTCATTTCGGGTTCAGAATAAAACCGCCTATCCTCGAAAGAATCCTTCCTGTTCGTATATTAGTGAGGCTGCAAAGAACGATGTGAATGCTTAGCACAGATAATCGAAAGGCGCTTGTATGGAATTCCGTTTGATGGGTTGAAAATAATGATTTAGAATAAGTGCTCGGATCGTGCTATTCAAAAAGAGTATTTCTAGATGAACCGTTTTCCAAAACAAGCATCATCATGATCATACTTTTTGAAGACATCGAGAGGAATGTCTTCCGAACAGTCGTTAGCTCGTTTTCGCTTCTTCTACAGAGTGCAAGAAAGAGCTAACAACGATTTGGCAGACTGTTTCTCGACGTCTCCATTTTGCCCATCTCTAATGTGTAACGATAGTAATCAGAATGCAGCTCTCTCTGCAGAATTGAAAGAATCGAGAGCATCAAATTACCATTCTGTTGATGACTTCCAGCCTTTCACATAACAGCCTGGCGACGATAGTTATGATGGCAAGACACAGTGCGACCATCAAAAGGATCACACTCACCATTAGGAAATCAATTCGATTTGATAAGTCGGATGTTTTACCTGGAAATTAGCTATCATTCAAAAAAAAATGACCAAAGAAAATCCGTGAAATTGTCTCTTCATTTTCTCCGATCGTGTGTCGTAGGCATCACCTATCTGAGGAGCGTTTATGCTGTCTTTACATATTTTTTGACGTGCTATTACGTTTGGTACGATGCAAAAACTGTCTAAATACCATTAGGGTATTCACAGCGTGGCGTCGGCTTCATGATGCACACTCCTTCTCCACAGCTTAGCATGGCGCAGTCGATCCCTTCTCTCGATACCTGAAAGATTTTACAACAGATTTCACAATATTTCTCTATACCGCAGTGTTGCGTTATACTGCGTAAGGAGAACGTCCGTTGCGCGCGTCCATCGAAAGTAGTTCACCACGCCCGTGTCGCGCGCGGCGCACCTCAATGAGGTCCCAGGATGACATTACAGTAGCACCAAGTGTCAGTGGAGCGAACGATTTGCATTTGTCCGTGTTATCTTCTCTTGGGCTGACTGCCGTGGACCAAGCGCAAATCGTATGCCCCACACAAGTGCGACGTTTGTCAAGTATCTTGGGCGGACCCACCGCATGCGACGCAGGTGGCGTGTCCCAATTTCGACGGACGCGCGCAACGAAGCGCACCCACTGCGTAGCTAGGGAAGGTGTTCCTCGAAGGATTTGTTGAGTTAAAAATAGATTTTCAGAAATCACTCTCGATCCGAACTGGAGCTTCTTTCTGTTTCCTCGAGCGATAATGGCAGTTGCGTTGAGGTTCACGGGCTAAACATCACTAGACTAAACGGTAGCATCTGAAGAAAAGTGGTCAGCAGTTGCTTAACATAGTTGCTCCCAGTTTCCCAAAAGAACAAATATGACCGCTTTCTTCAGGATGATTTCTCAAACCATTTCTTAATCTGAAGTTACATATGCACTCCAGTCTCGAAGTTCTTAACTAACCACGTTTCTTCACTGCTCAACTTGAACGTAATTCTTCGAGCATGAGCGAAGACACTGCGCAGTTTCATAGCTCAGCGAAATCTTGCTTATAGGCACAGTTCACGATAATTTTGGGGTATCCGGTTTTTGACGGAAAGTGATAGGTACGGCCTACAGAAGTACAGGGGTAAAGCAGAAAAAAGACGAATAAAAAGAAATAGAAAATTTCAAAAACTGAGTAAAAAAGGGGATGGACGAGTTACTTAGCGAAAAACCGCGGTTAAGGGGAGTGTTCGGGCGAGTCAGACGAACGCGACGCAGTGTCTGCAATTGCACACAACACACCCAAACAGCTGATTGCAAGCAATGCCTAATCCAAAACATCTTTGCAATCTTTAAAACGGTCTCGAGGAATGTCCTAACCATGTGTTGGAAACATCCCATCGAAACTCAATGAAAGATTGCGCCAGTAAAAAATATTCAAAATAATTATTACGTATTGAACAAGTTTGCGTGCAAAAAACCATCACGTGAATTTTCATACGTAATTGACTTACCTGATCCACTCGCACTTGCAACACTAATTATGTTCAGCTGAATAGAAGCGAATAGTAGTAGCAATATAGGAAAATATCGAATAGCGATCGAATATCAAACTTTAGTCGGCGAAAGCAGCAAAATCTACATGCCCGTCCTTGGCAATTTGCCAATTAGCTTGTCGATTGTTCACTAATGTTGCTCCAATGCGAAAGTGATTAACGACAACTAGATTTCGTAGTCAGCCTAGCGAGGGGCGGAGGCTTCTCGTCCCCCACTCTCAGGCCCTTATTGTTCCCTATCCAGAACGTTTTACGACCTCATTTCGGCACATATGGTATCAGAGGGTTCCCCAAATTCATACCATGTGAAAATCTCCGTAACCATTTTTTTGTGAACCGTGCCTTTAACACGGTTCACGATCAAAAAGATTACTTAGTTCTTTCTTTTGGGAATACTCAGCGCCCTCCATGGGTGGTGGAAGGGATCCTCTAACTCCCACTATATCGTCGCTCAGGGCATAGTGGAAGCCCTGTTGCTGCCGCAATTGGCTTTAACGCCCCCCGATCGATGTCTCGTTAGACGAGTGTCGAGACAGTGCAGATTGCGAATATTCCTTCTGAAACCCACACATAATCAGCTGATCGCCGAGTGATGAGGCGATCTTTTTCTCCCATTCTTTTTTCCTCTGTTATTCATCTTGCTGCCGCGATCCCATATTTAATTACCCACTCCTAGAGGCGAAAAGGGTGTCTGTTCTCGTCCAGCCCCTTTTACAACATGTTTTTGAAGCCATTTTTCACTTTAAAAACAGCGATTCACGTAGTTTCTTCACCTTCACCGCACTGTTTTCGATCTTGTCTTCCATTTTTATCTAATCTGGATTACCAAAAATTATCGTGAACTAAGCCTTCAAAAGTCTTTAAAAGTTCACTATAATTTTGAGGTGACCCTTTTTGAATTGGGAAACAGAGGTGTTGATGTACGTATGTGGAGTAGTGGATCGGTAGCGAAGAAAGCAAGAAAATCCTCCGACCTCGCAAAAAAAGGTTTTCTTGAAGAATAAAGAGTGGTAGAAACATAGGATGCACGGGGTTATCTTGGTAATGGGATGAGATTACACTTTTTGCAAATGCGCAAGGAGCTGACCACATCAAGCTAAAGCGGTCCAGAATTGCCTTTCACTATCGCTGCGGGTCATGACAATTTGTTTGAACGTCCTGCATGGGTTCACTTGTGAATGGCGCACTCTCTACGATGCCGGTAAAACTCGTCCGAGGATACCTACGGTGCGATCTTTAGGCCGTCATAACGCCCTGTCTCGGCCGTTTTCCGACCTGACTGCGCCGCATATTGTATATGAGAAGGCCACGGATTTATCCCGGCGAGGTACTTCACAAGCCATTTTTATCGTGAACCATTCCTTTGAGTTGATGCATGTCTAGCTTTTGTTAAACCTTTCAACCAAGTTTCTCGAGGCGGTCAAGATTCAGACAGTGAAAATCGGCGCTTTGGAAAAACTGTGGCATCGCTGACTATGGCTTCGCTACCACGACCCAGACCTTCCGACCCTTTCCCCGTTACAGGAATCCCTCATGAATTCAGCACTCAAAAGAGGTGAGAGTAGTAAAAACGGGAAAAGGTAGAAATTAGGGTGATTAAGCTACACAAACTTATCTATAGGTCATTTTCTGAAATTGCTGTAGAAGCTACAAAATCGTTTTTCACCTGCCGCTCGCAATTTCTTCCCTCAAATCCTTCAGCACAGATGCACTTGTAAGAGTTGGTAATATCAGCGATACAGGTTCCACCATTCTCACAAACGTCTGCATGATTGGAGCAGTAATCGAGATCCCTGAATTAGGTAGCTTTCAAATACTCTAGCAGCCATTATTATACATATACTGCAGGTCTGATGAGTCAAGACAATCTTGAAAATCGGACTTACATGTCACAAAGAATTCCACCCCAGTTCGAATCACATACACATTGATGCGCCAATCTACATGATCCATGTTGACAGCCTGCTAGAGGCACACATTCCGTACAGGACAATCCTTTCCACCCGAAATCGCATCTGGGAAGAAAAATTGATAAGATTGGAGAGGAAAAACGAAGAAAGAAGTGAGATAAATGTGAAATTAAATGGAAATTAATTAGCAGCGACCACTGTCGAGGAAGAGCAATGCCGGGAAAAAGGAGTTAGTAGGCGTTCGGTTTCAAGTAACACTGAGTGCATGATCAGCATGCCAGAGAATGGGAATTTGAAGGGATCTTGATACAAATTGACTCCTGTGGAGGCCGACTGTAGGCAGGGTTGGGAGGTTGAAATTCGCAATCAACCTGTTGGGTAAAGGTATCTTGCGTACCCATACCTTCTTACTGCAATTGATATTGACCTCATCGGTTGTATTGCAGTTGTTGATATGCATTTTTTAGCTGACTTAGCCCATAATTGTTTATGCGTCAACAGAAAAAGCGTTGTGAAGTATGTTATTGTTAGTAAGACCTTTCAAAGGCACTAATCTATTAGGTGTGCGCATTAATCTCCGCCGCCGAATTCCAAGGGCCGTTGCGCGAATCATTTTAGAGGTTCACCGGTGAAACCTGTCATATTCTGTAAGGTAGGGCATTGGCTACCGGGCATACAGATCAGTTTTTCCCCAAAATCTGTCGCTCTCAGACTGATTGGTCATGGAACGTGGTAAACCGTTTCACCGGGAGACCCTTCCCCTGCTGTTTGATTTCAAGAAGACGGGCATTGAAGCCCACCGGAAGCTTCTATGGAGAACAAGCTTCATCTGAACGAACCTGCTGAGATAGTTTCTCTTCACTCGAGACTCGAGAGCTTGCAACGAAAGCGGAATGTTTATTGCCAAAAAGTAATGCTGTGCGTGCATTTGGTGGCGGGATCAAAAGGGTGTTTTGAACTATGAGCTGCTGAGCCCGAACGAAACTGTTACTACTGACCGCTACGAACACCAACTCGACAATTTGTAAGATGCTCTCACCTAAAGCGGCCGTTATTCGCAAGCAAATATCATGAGGTGCTGTTCCACCACGGACATGCCAGACCCCATGTTGCGAGAATATCCTTAAAGACTTTGCAGTTTTTGGATGGAATCAGCTTGTTCAGTCCGTATACTCTCCGGAACTAGCTCATTCTGATTACCCCCTATTCCGGTCCATGCAAGTCAGTTTGGCAGATACACGCTTCCGGAATGTCGACGAAGTGCGAAATGGGTGGATAAAAGGATTGCCTCAAAAGATGAAGACTTTTTTATACCCGGAGTCAGCAAGATACCAGAAAGATGGTAAGAAGTTGTAGCTAACGAAGGGCAATACATTGGTTAATGTAAATTTGGTTTTAATTTTGTAATAAATTTGCTTTTGCACGCAAAAAACAGCGAAAATTAATGCACACCTAATACATCCACTGCACCCACACAATACAGAAGCCCATGGGAGACATCATCTTACACCCGATGCCATTTTTGTGTCGTTAGCTTAAAACGCGGGTGCAGCTGTTGAATGTCATTAGAGACTGGTAAATGGCCTGGTCTGGGCCACGAAATCGTGGAAATGCGAGGTCACCTGCAAGTATTTGGTGCAGTGCATGTTCCATGACCGCATGTCGGGTCGCACTTCGGTTCGTTGCACAGTGGACCACCCCATCCACTTTCACAAAGTTTTTTGCCGTCTGGCGAGCACTTGAACGAACCGCCGTTTTGACTGAAATTCAAAAGTCTGTCAAAATTTTGATCTGGGTTGTGTGAAGCAGTATACTTACTCTTTGAATGTTTCGTTACAAAACACAGTACATGTCGGACCGTAAAAGTTCGCTTCGCATTCCACGGAGAAGGAAAAGCTCAGGGTCATGTTTTCAGACTCCTGAAATGAAATAAAGTTGGAATAAAGCTAGAGAGATAGGGACCCGAACATTTCAATAAAGAAGAGGCAGATGACTCACAATCGTCATATCAACAACAGGAGAATGGGAACTGATGTTCTGGAAGAATCGAGAAACTTCCAGAAGTACTTTTCCGCTCCTATCGTGACCACTCACTGTTAGCTGCCATTCGGTCTGGAACAATCAGACAAAAAAGGTTTGTTGACTTGCAAACAGCTGGAAATTCGGAAATGTTTTTTTTNTTTTTTTTCAGTACCATTCTCTCTTTGGAGGACAAAGAGCACCAAGACGACCGAAAGCGATCTCTTAGGCATTATACGGTGAAGACGTGATGATTGTATGATCAGCTGAGGATAAAGTCTTTAGTGTTAATCAATCCGTTTTAACATGGGCCCCTGCATTCGACTTCCATTCAGGGAGCGTGTTTTGAAGTGTTTGAAAGGGTATGGGGCTCGTACAAAAACATTCGTTGGCTAGCCAATGCTAAAGCCGGTACTTTGAGCCTCCCAAACTAGTCTGGTACCAATACATAGAGCTAGGGACAGAAGATTTGGTCGGCCTGGGAGGATGTTGATCCAGGATTCGATTTCCGCATCATGTGAGTATGGCGCCACTTCTTGCCACCACAGTTGCACATAGGAGCGAAAAAAAAAGATATCGAGTGTTATATAGATGATGGGCATCTACAGTGTCGCCTCTTAAACGATATTTAGTGGTTTCTTGCGGATCTTTGTAGACGAATTTCTCACTGGAGTGATGGAAAGGCTCAGTTACCAAATCCCTTTCACCGATAAGTAAAGATGTTACTTCATGCCTATATGAAAATACGTAATCACAGGAAAAGTACTGGTACTATTACCTCTTAAAAACATTTTTGCGCTAGATTCAGGCAATTGCCTGAAAAATCATTAATCTTTAACGAACTGCTTCTCACAGAAGACCATATTTCGTAGATAAGCGTTAGTATTCAAGTAATGGAATGATGGTTGCGCCCTCTATTAGCCATCATGAGCAGGTGGAAAAAGAATTCATTGGCTTCGTGTGGCATTGGCGACAGTGATTGGACCACCCCCGAGCTTGCACTTAGCGGGGCTATGGCCATGGAGTGCGTCCGTCTGTGGCCATACGTGTTGTATCAACAGAGACTTTAAGTAAGTGCTAATTGACGGTTTGGTTCGCGTATTTCAGCTGATGACCCTAGCAATTTTCTAATTCGCTTGCGCCATCCATCGTACAGGTGCCTATAATTGCACGGCACGGCGCAAAATTCCTGGACACGGAAATCATTGAGTAGGACGACGAAGAAACTGGAGAAAGCACAGCAGAAGAATAACGGAAGACTCAGAAAAGGAAAGGAAGGAACACTCCGGCCTCCATGATGGTGCAGGTGGGTGCAAGTAGCGGTTGTGAAAAAGGATTGAAAACAAACGTTCACTTGAAAACTTTCTTTCCCTATATAAAGTGTGAGAGGTTAAAGAATAAAGACGAGGAAAGGATTAGGGGTCTCACATGTTCAGTAAGGAAAAAAGTGAGGCACTTGAGTAGACCATTCCCTCTTCACTGCATAGGCGAAACGTTCTTTCGAACTTTCAAATTCTCCCCTTCCCCCCCCCCCCAATTCAAAAATTGTTGGGTTATCACGATCGCTCTTAGGTCGTTCAGGTTGCAATTACACCAGTAGGTAGATTAACATATGGTCGAAGATGGAAATATCAATGGCACATTCATCGATGCGACAGTAATTACCGTAATGCCTGAGGGGCCCTTCCCTTTCAAGGGCCCTCTTCTTCCAACCTACAACATGAAATTGTTCTATCGTGGACTATAACGTATTGTCGGCTGATCAATAATCAGTGTTCTTAGCACCGACCGGAACTCTTAAGCACCTCGCACTTATCCCCAGATAATCCACCACCCTCAAAGGACCAAGCGCACTAGCCGCGTAAGAGGTGCATCGGCCGACGGTGTACGGTACGCTTTGCAAAGGCCAAGTCGGCAGTCTTTATTCATGTCAGAGTGACAGTTATCTTACCCCTAATTGCTACTGATCATTTGATGCCGGAATTGTGACAGCTCTTTGTCAGTCGTGGGTCTGAATTGGCGATTCACGCCGATTCTACTGAATCGTCACAGATGGTCGAAACGCAGATGTTGAGCGCAACCCCCTCCATCTCTTCACGAAAATGCTTTGGGAGTTCGGTTGGACATAGTGGTTCAGCTAGACGTTGGCACAAGGAGCGCCCGAATCTCCTCAGAAAGGTCATTGAGGCTCGTTTTTGCATGGTCAATGATGAGTAAAGTGTACGTTCATGAGTCCATTAAACGGGGAGTTGAAAGTGGAAAATCTGGGCCAACGGCCTACAGCAAAAAACAGCGAAATGACAGGCGATTTTCCTAAAAAAAGGAACAAAGCAAAACAGGACACCGGAGTTGCAGTTGAGTAGGAGTCTGGAAGATTATTTACTCTGAGCCAGCAGAATACAGTGGCCCCTCATGTACGCAACAAAGACCAAGATGGAGACTCTGGGTCCAAGCAAGAGTATGGACTATAGGAATTCGCCCAATCGTTTGCATTAACGAAATAAGCCACCAATCTTGCTGAATTCCCTCCATGCGCAAACCACACGTGCGGGCGTTTTTCTCCATAGCGGAAGAAACCTCTAGCGGACCATCAACATCTCTGAATCAGCCTCAGCTGTTATTGATTCCTATGCAATGATTGGGACTATTACCATAACAAAAAACGTTTGTTAGATACGGTAAGGCACTTGCCACTTCTTCACGGGGAGGGCTTGCTTAGTAGCTGACAGTATACATAAACAAACGAAAAAGGATTTCTCCTAGCGGTTAACGTGGGCTCACCACTGGCCATCTTATACTGATAGGGACGTCGACATTGTAGGGAAAGTCGCCCCTAGAGAGAAACGGTGTTTGAAAGTGGATATAGTGACAGTCTTTGTAGTGCTTCTTGTCCGAGAATCGAACTCCAGCGCAGAACGACAGCTGTACATCACATGAGCACGAAGAATTCGCTGAAACAGAACGAAAGATTTGAAAATAAGTACAAGCAACAAATCAGACTTGGACTGGACTGAATCTCTAATCATCTCTTTAACCTTCTTGTTCTAATTTTCTCTCCCCTTTTTGAACTAATATAATAGTGATAACTAATCATTAGAACTTTCTTTCTTATTGAATTCTAATCTGATGCATGTGAAAAACTGGTATAACTAATTTCATCTGTATAGTGTCACAAAAAATTGCCTTAATGGTTTTCAAACTGTGGAAACTAGAGAAGTCAAACAAAATGTTAACGACCAAGACCGGCTCTTGGCATTTCTGATAATAAGTTATGAGCCAGTGCCCACAGAATTTAAACTTGCACTGGGGTCTTCTGAGTCCCTCTTAGCGAAGTTTGTTCCCTGCACAGAGATTGAGCAAAAGATTCTCATTTGAATGCAAGCTATAAGCATTTGACCACCTTGAGCGAAGAAATTCATTCAAGAAGCCCCGAAAAGATACGACATCGAATAGGGTAAGCCTCGATTCGGGGAAGAATTACTTCCGTACTTGAATTATGAATGGCGACAAGACCTTTGGTAACAACTAGTTGAGGTACAAAAGTACACCCAAGTAATTGAAAAAAATCGTTCTATTGAAAGTTTTTCTCTTATTAGCGATGCTTTGAGGGGCTTTTATGAATATAGTGTTCCCTTCTACTCACCTGAGTCACAACACTTTGACAATTTTTCTGAGACAATNGCCTCGATTCGGGGAAGAATTACTTCCGTACTTGAATTGTGAATGGCGACAAGACCTTTGGTAACAACTAGTTGAGGTACAAAAGTACACCCAAGTAATTGAAAAAAATCGTTCTATTATGGGGTTTTTCTCTTATTAGCGATGCTTTGAGAGGCTTTTATGAATATAGTGTTCCCTTCTACTCACCTGAGTCACAACACTTTGACAATTTTTCTGAGACAATCGAAAGGTCTTGTATTCGAAAGCGGGACGTTGAATAGGCTGGCACCTGCAAGCGAGCAGATGTGAGGAGAATCGTTTTTGCGCAACCACCAGTACACCCTTGTACACCTCAATCATCGCCCAACTCAAGGACTCTTAATGATAACATATACTGTAATTATGCATGTGGACCGCACAGTAGACCACACTCTGCACAAACGAAACCAGAAAGCTGTGTGAAAAAGGCTGACGCTACTTGTGAAAGCACATGACATGTTATTTCCAGGTGGCATTAAGCTAATGAAGAGTGGAGGTGCACCAGTCGAAAGCATTTCCGAGAGAGAAATTAGTTTGAATACCCATCCAAACCAATTTCTTGTAGGAAAGACGGAATTCGATTGCAGGGAATGATGCTTACAGACCAACGTATGACTCTTGAAACTGTTTAGAAATCTATAGTAGGTTCAATAACATAGTCATCAGGTGTAGAGCAGTGCAAGTAAATGTTTTAGGCCCATTTCCGACAAAAGTTAAGGGATATATAACTTTGTGTGGCATTTTTGGAGAAGAAATAACCAAATGCTAAAGAGAAAGTGTTACGTGCGATATTCTCAGGCTCGTAATAGTGTACAGTCAAAGAAGATCACATAGAGCTAGCAGGCGAGAATTCTAGAACTATTTTACTTACCGTTTGGGTTCGCAATAGGGCCCAGAAAATGTTAAACAGCATGACGTTAGATCGGAGCGCTGTCATGGTCGGCAATGCAGCTAGACCTTTGGTAGCACCGCCTTCATTCGGCGCACGATACTGTAGAGGCCCAATGTGAACTGATCCAATTGTCAACGCTAATTGTTTTCTCTGGTCTGCTTGAAATACTTTAACTTCTGATGAAGATTCTTCTCATCAAAACGATCTTGTTGACGGGTTCATTCGTAAAATGCCAATAAAAGAGTTGCAAAGTTCTGAACAAAAATTACTTTATGACCCATCGCCCTCTTGCGACAGAAGTAGTGATATTTTCTGGGTTTACTAACCAAATTCATATCCATATTAACTTAGTGAGTGGAGCAGTTCAAAATGAGAACATGACGTGATCTCACAAGAGAGTCTGAACTGATAATCAACGATCTGTCAGTGTGACAACCATGTAACCGCGGCAATTTCTAAAGCTCCCGAAAACATCTTTCGCCTATCGTGGGAGCTGTTCCGATTTTCTATGGTAACTTTCAGTCGATTACATCTATGTACCTGTCAGAAATAACTTCAACACTTCTTGAAGTGCCCATCGGATAATACCTTTAGCCTTATTCCATCGATTTTTTTTATAAAAGCACCAGCCCGTTCGCCCGGCTCACGCGGGGCTTCCCTCCTTCTTTGATAAAGTTGTGGTAATCGGCTAGCTCTTCACTCCTTATTTGAAACAAATAATATTTTCCTGCACACGAAGTTTGACACAGGACTAGCAGAGCGATGAAAAAGATATCCAGGTAAGTCGGTGCTTATGCCTTGGAGTCTCAATCTCTTGCTGCTTTCTTAAAGTTAAATACACAATAAGAATTCTTTCGTCAGCAACCAATGCTTCGGGCGGTACTCATAAATATTTAGAGTGGTGATAGCACCATTATCAGATGTTGTTATCAATGGGCCTCTTTCTATTCGGAGATATAATTAGTTGAGAATTCCAGATATAGGAAGGACACGGCTTTGCCGGGCGCTCCTACTTACTGTAAGAAACTTGCTAAGCATAAGTATATAGTTCGGATTCTCCTTTTTCTTCGGAAGCTCTACACCCACAGTAATAGCTCCAAACTGGATGCTGGTTCTTTTCTGTAAGACATCTTTGCTGTGTTTTCTGTAATTCATCTTTTTTTGTGTCCGGATAGACAATCGTATAATATCACAAGGCGATTATTCAGAGAAAAAAGACTAATGGGCTAAGGAAGCGTACCTCCGAGAAATTGCGATTGGAATACTTCGAATGAAGTAAGGCCAAATTGACAGTTTCAGCGCAATCTCCGCCCCCTGTGGGCGGTATCTGGTAGTGCCAACTACAGTGGGTGTTCCTATCCTGTTCACATTAATCCTACCAAATTTGAACGTTCTAGGTCCACGGGGATAGGAGTTATGAATTTCCGCTCAAACACTTATTTCGCACAAACCCCGCTCCTTGTGGGAGGGGTCCGGTCATGCTATCCTCCATAAGTGATCCCATCATGTTTCCAATAATTCTTCCAAGTTTGAACGCCCTAGGACCAAATTGATAATTTTCGTGCAAACTGCGCCCCCTGGGGAAGGAGTCGGTCCTGCTGCCCGCTCTAACTGTCCACATCCTGCCGCATGTGCTCCTTCAAAATTTGAACTTTCTAGGTCCACGGGACAGGAGTTATTAATTTCTGCTAAAACCCGCTCATTGTGGGCGGAGTCTGGTTTTACTACCCTTGTGTGTTTTAATCTACTCCTTCCAACTTTGTGTTTCCATGGGGACAGGAGACATCCACGAAGACAAAATTTGGCACAGGACCAATGGTACAATGGCATTGGTACTCAGTACGTGCCGATGCTCATGCCTAAATCAGAAGTCTCAATTCGTTGCTCTTCATCTCGAAATTGTGTCACATTGATGGCTTAACTGATTGACAACCAATGTCTTGAATGGTACCCAGGAATGGATATTAACGCCTACCACAGATGTCGTTATCAATGGAACATTTTGCCCATAGATTTATCATTTAATGAGAATCCCAAATCATTAGCGGTCAGATGAGTTTAGTCACAAATGATATATCACAAAACAAAAGGGAATCGTGGTACTTCATTGTGCCACAAAGCTTACTGCGTAACGGTCGTAGTTTAATAGCAAGAAATGAACTAAATTCTCATTTCGGCATGGAGAAATGCTTTGATCGATCGCTAATACTGCATTTACCCGTCTTAATGAATGAAACATTTTGAAGAGTCAGTGTTTTATCTTATAAATTCCCTTTTGCTCTCTAAGGCCCCTTATCAGTTCCTATCAGTTGTTACCAGTTCTTGTTACAGAGTACCTACGACCACGTCACATCCTACATTGCCGTCATTGAAAAGGTTCCACTGTTGACACGAAGGGGAGGACTGCAGCGCATGCTCGCTTGTTATTATCTGTCCCTATCATAATTAACTTGGTCCCTTCACGTTCTGCACTATCTACTGGAATGCTCAGTTGTTAATATGGAAGCCGTTGTAGAATTATTGGCTCTCGCCTCCTATCAGTTTCTATAAATCTCTAACAGTTGCTATGTCGCTATCAATTAACATCTACGGTCCCTTTTTGATCACACCCCTTACCGAAGTGCCAAAGCTCTGCCGTTAACGCGAAGTAAGTAACGGTCCCTGTGGCTCTCGCCTTTCGAAGCTCCTATCAACTCCTTTTAATTGTCATCACCGCTTATCATCTACCATCAGTGTTCCTATCCTGCTTCCTGTACTCCTACCAAATTTCAACGCAATAGGTAAAGATAAACAGGAGTTATAAATTTGCAGCCTAAGATTTCTATCGCGCAATCCCCGTCCTCTGTGGGAGGAGTTCGGTCCTACCACCTGCTGTAAGTGTTTCTATGCCGCCCCTTGTACTCCTACCAAGTTTCAACGCTTTGAGTCCACTGGAACAGGAGTTATGAATTGGCGACCTAAGATTTCTATTGCGCAATCCCTCTCCCTATAGGCGGAGTTCGGTCCTACCACTTACCATAGGTGTTCTCCTCCTGCCCCCCGTACTCATACCAGATTTGAACGCTCTAGGTCCATGGGGACAGGACTTATGAAATTGCGGCTCAAAATTTCTAACGCTCACGCCCGCTTCCTGTGAGCGGAGTCCGGTCCTGCCGCCTACCATAGGTGTTCCCATCCTGCTCCCCTTACTTCTACCAAATTTGAACGCTCTAGGTCTACGGGGACAGGGGTCATGAATTTCCGGTCAGACACACACACCGACACACACACACAAACACACAAACACACCGACAGACCGACAGATACACTTAGCGAATTATATAAAGTAGGATTCTCTATCGAGTCACAAACATTGCTGGGTAACAATTCAATAGCAAGAAATAAACAGAACCATCATCTGCTTATCGTATTGCCTCTAATGGATCCGTGTCACTTACCACTACTTTTGCCACCCTCTCTACCATCCCGTCTTAGCAAATGAAACATACTAAGTAGTGAAAGCTACATCGTAAATTCCGAAGATCTTAGGATTTTGATCAGTACGTGGCGCTTGCTCTCTTAGGTCCCTTATCTTCGATTACTGAAGATAATCCAATGAAACTTCAGGAGCGAAATTGATTTGTCCCACTTGCCTGACGAAAGGAAGATATTCAGATTGCTGATCTACATATGTCAGCGCAAAATCCAGAATGAAGCGAGCGCGATGCAAACTACGTTTGGATAGTGACACAACACAGAGCATGGTCGAAATGAAATAAGTCGGTGCATGTACAGCGGGTCGAAGAAGTACAGGGTGTCCCAAAATTATTTGCGCCAATTTATAGCAATATATTTGAAACTTCTCAACTGCAAAAGACGATGGAATTTCTATGCACGTTAGCTAACACTGTGTGCTACAACATGCTAAAGTCGCATTTCAAAATATCCCCTGTGAGCGCGAATAGAAGTCAAAGTTTGCTTTCGACTTGATCGCATGTGGCACGCAGGTATCCTTCTCCAATTCTTCCCAGCCGTCCTTCAGCATTTGCATTCTAGTACTCCAAACTGGGACTGCAAACTCTACAGGTCCTCTTCTAATCAGGGCCCGTTCGTGGGATTCATGTGAGTCAAACTCTGGAAAATAGGATGACCATTCCTCTTCACCAATGAAGTTGGGCAGCTGTCGTCGG